CCAATTTAAATCCCTGAAAACTGTTTTTGCAAAATGCTTAAAGCTGCCACAGTGACATAGGATAATTCATTAGCATACAGACCTCATCTTTCAAAACCACATGTCAACATATTCCTAAAAAGTCTCACATTTCAAAAACACACTTTAATCTGCCAGTGGGCAGAGGGTTAATCCCTACCGACTAAAACTAAATAAAAAAACAGAGACAGCAGTTCCCTCCTGAAGCGGGGAATGATGTCATTCTATGAAAAAAAGAAAATACTGGGAAAAGATTCAACTGGCAGTAAAGAACTGTTCAAAGGAGTATCAGATGCTTTAAATGCACTCCAGACTTCATGATGGAAAAAAACAAAGTAATATTACATAAGAGCAGACCTCTGGGTGTTCCTCAGCCTCCAAGTATGTACTACTGTAGAGATTTCAGCTTCCTCAACATTTTTTTCTGGGTATTACCCAGATCTTACATTTTAAAACAGAACCTTTAAATTCAGGAAGTAGAAAATATATTTGAACCAAATTAAGCTGCTTGTAAGATCTTTATAATAAGCAGAAGTTCAGAAACTTTTAATGTCATGATTTTATTTACCATCAATTAAACACAATATAGGATTAACACTTGCATATTCATTTAATTATCTAAAACAGTCAATTGGGGATGTTACTTCTGCCTTCTTTTTCTGTTTATTCCAAGTTTTCTAATATTTTTAATTCCCCTTTTGGAAAAAAAAAATAGCATTTAGTTTCCCTACAGTTGTGAGACATTTGGGTCACGTTTTCTCTTACCTATTGCACTTAAATAAATAATAATAAATCTGACATGTAACCCTTTTGATGCCATCTGGGTGACAAAACAATTAATCCACTGAAAAAAAAACTGAAATAAACCAAAACAAAAAAGTGTCTGAGATGTAACACTGAAACATAGTGGTGGCTATATTGAGATTGGGGGTTATTGGCTCATATTAAAACACAACTGAGTTTTTAACATGAGGAGGGAACTGATGGGTCACCATAAACACAGAAGAGGTTCTATCATGATGTGGGGATGTTGGGTTACCATAAAAACAGTGGGTGTTCTATAGTGTGGCGCTGCCACGCCACATTAAAACACAGTGGAGGTTCTATCATGATGAGGGATTGGTGAGTCACCATTAACGCAATACAGGTTCCATCATAATGTGGGGCTGATAGGTCACCTCAAAGCAGCTTGATGTGTCTGTCTGCAACCAATATACTTAACTAATTTAATGAATAGTCTTTTGATTCCAGTTACTGCTCAGTAACTGGGTTATTAAGTTGTGATCCATAAACCAGTAAAACCACTGTTTTTTTTTTCTTTCTCTCTAATCTGCAGGTGAAAGACGGTTTCATTAGTGTTAGACAGAACTGGGCTAAACCTCAGTGAGTATATTTTCAACAGAACCTGACCTTATTATATGATGAAAATTTGGCCACAAACGTGGTTTGAAATGGCAGTTGTGACCAGGTGTGGAAAAATATACTGAATATCTTATCATCCAAACATGGCTAACTTTACACTATGCAGCAGAGATAGGGTTGCACAATAATCAGAAAGAAAATCAGGGGAATAGAATTGTCGAACGTTGTGAAGACAATCTGGGTTTATTTTGCATATCAAGGAAATCCAGTGTGACATTCTGTTAACATTATTTCAACTGTAATTGTGATTGTAGAATTTATTTAAAACATGGGCAGCACTGTGCCAAACATTGGTCAAGAAAGCATGCCGATGTTTAACTAGCCACTTTGCCTAAAATAAAGACACAGTAAACCCAAAACAGTCCAAACTTGTGAGGTAATCGAAGGCTCAAACGGGGAACGATTTTCGGCCAAGACATTTTGCCCCATCAATACCGGCCCACAAAAAAATAGAAGCACAGTCAAACGCGTGCATCGCAAATGTAACTGAAATGAAAATATAACCTCAGCAACATCCGCAGTATCCGTATTCCCATGGACCAGCGCCACTCACCACATCAGCAGGGTTGCCAGATGTCACTTACTCCCGTTTTCCAGCCCAAAAAATTTTCATAAACGGCCTGGATAGACGAAATCTCGCCCAATTTGAACCTAAGTCTGTTGATCTCTTATGCCATAAATCCAAAGGAAAACATTTTTTCCCCATACAGTAGACGGCCATCCTAAACTGCCAGATTAGGAAACATCCAAAACCTGTCAACAATGCACGTAGGATGGGAAACATGTATTCTAAAGAAAGAAATAGCAAAAAAAAGATATATGGTCTAATCATATTTTGCCGGACTACTCTGAGCAAGTCAGATGATGACATTAGAAAGCTGTTTAACAGAGAAACTGTAAAAAAACATCAAATTATCTCAGAAAAGTCATAAGAAATGTTTTAAAGATTTTTATTAGCATTCTTTAGTGATGTAAGGATAAAAATAAGTACATTTAGTAGCATATTAATCTTGGCGACCTGGATGAATATCTGCTTGCATATGCACAAATGAGCCGATGGTAGAGATCGGGTAGAGACAGTGCATACTGTACAGAAGGGGGAGTTTGTTTTTTTACTGAACACTCATTTAAATAAGGTGGGGTAACATGAAAGAGTGCTTGTCAAAACTAAAGGATTTTGCTAAACTAGATGTTTGGTCATAACACGAGGTTTTAGAGAGAGAAACCCAACTTCAGGGCGTAAGCAGCTGTACCTGCTCTTTTCCACCTGAAATGGGTGCAAATGAGTTTAGAGCTACAAAGGTTGACTTTATCATTAAATGGGCAGCATAGACTGAAAACCCCAACAAGAGGTTAAGAAACCTGCAGGTTTAGATTGATTGATTGAAGAGACTGACTTCCTTTGACTTCATATATGAATGAATGTCACACATGATTTCAAGTTTTAATTATATAAAAAAGAAACAATTAATTGTGATTAATCTATAATTGCAATAATCATCAACTAATTTAGAAATTTATCAATTATAAACTGTATACTGAGTATAGAGAGTCTAAAATATGTCTTTAGCTGACAGAGCAACCCTCTAAGAGCAATAACTGTAAGACGACTGTAAAAATTGATATCAATATTTTGCATTTTACGATATGAATACTTTTTTTCATCTGTGAAGATGCTCTATGCAGAACTCCACAAGTGGAAAAGATTTATTTTCCCCTGGTTTAATTCTGTAAAAAAAAACTTCTCTAAGGAACCTTTTGCTATCTGATAGTTAATTGCTTAATTGAAAAAAATTATAGACAGATCAATCGCTTGGCAAAAGAATCGTTAGTCGCAGCCCTACAAATGAACTTCCATAGAAAAACAAAATAACCCTTTAAAAATGTTTCTTTTCCTTCCTCACTGACTGCTATTGAGTTGATTTTAGCATAATAGAAAAGCTTTTTTATTTCCAGTTCATGTTAATGTGAGCCTTATTGCAAGAGTGATATATAAAATGTAAAATTGTACTAATTTATGTATCTATAATTCAAATCTCAGTTATAGTTTTTATAGTGCTTCACTATCAAGTTTCTTTCTCTACAGATATAAAAACATTATAATCGAGGATTAGATTTTTTTGTGATTTTGCACAATATATCTGCTGTCACCATCTGGGCACCTTTTTAAATATTTCCTTGAGGCACCCCTGCTCTCATATCTGCCTGAGGCATGTTTTTACACCATGCATTCATCAACAAAGGACTAAAAAAATAATAAACCGTTCAACATCTGTCCTTCCATGGTGCAACCTTCATGTGATCCACGCTTAGAGGAAAAAAAACTGAAGATTCAGGACTCCTTTGCTTTTCCTTTTGTTATCATGATGTACAGTAACTATAGACACAAAGCAATGCTTCAAAGTAGCATTAGCCTTTTCATTGTTAAATCGCGACAAACTGAGCCCCAAATCAGGATGAATCTGGGAAAGGCGTGTTTTACAGAGCCTGGGCTGCAAACTCTGCAGCATAACCAGGAGTTTGGCAGACAATAGATCCAGAGACAGAACAATCAGCTCCCACAGGTAGACACTCTTACAGCTTCTAGAATCCTGTATGCGGTCGCTACCAGCCCAGAAACAGCTTCATGTGAAGTTTGAAGGATAAAGAGAGAAATATAGAACACAAATTTACCTGTTGGTGGTTTGTTTAAAAAAAAAAATTAAAAATAAAAAACGCTCCTGTGTCTCAGCTCCGGCTGCTCCTGGTGCTCTTTATTACGATTATATTCCGTGCATATATACATTTTTAATGAGGTAATCGGAGGCGCATCTCAGCTCTTGCTTACTTCCATGTGCTCGCGACACGGACCACGCGCTCAGACTGAGCAGGGATAGGGCGCGTGACGTCACGGCGAGACAGGGAAAAACAGCTCAAGGGATGATCAGATGTAGTCAGGTGTGACGTCCAGGTAAACATGTTCCTGTGAGGAAATCAGCCACTTTTACGCCTTCTTACCTTTTTTCTACTAATTTGCATGACATTTTATATTCTAATTTTTGTACAGTTCTAATATATTAAAATGTCCTCAGGAGCATTTATAATGAATATCTTATCTAAATGTAATCATTTATGCAGAATTTGATCAAGATTTCTAAAAGAAATCATTTCAATCTCACATGCTCCATGATTTTTAAAGTTTGGTCTTTTAAAAATTATTTCAGGGGTGGGGAAAAAATACTTTTCTACTTTTTCTAAATTTCTTGTATATTGAACACATGATTGTGCATCAATGCACACCATGTACTTAAGCATCTACCTTAATCAAAATGTTTCTGAATATTTAAAAAAAAATTTTGTTTTACTAAAAATAAAATGCCATTGCTCTATATGTATATTTTGCCCTTAGATCAAACTCCACATTTATCCTGAACTGAATTTATCCCAAAGCATCCCCACACCTGCTCAAAGCTGAGAGCTCATGTCTAAAGATCCCTTCAAGCCAACTGCTGGATTTTGCTGTGATGTTTAGTGCAAAACAAAGGACACAGATTTAAGAAAACATTTTTTATATAATTCCAAAAGATCCAACAACATATTGCAAAAAAAAAAACAGAAGGTGAGCCTGGACATCCAGACGTTCACTATTGAAAAATACATTTTCTTAGGAAATATTAACTATTTACAAAAACATAAAAATGTATATTTTATTCGGAGCCATCCCTGAAGAGGGCAGACCCCTTTTAAACATTTTATTAATAAAATAAACTTTTAAATATTTTATCCAACCATAACTTCAGCTGAGGCAGTTTAAACTTGGAAAATCAAAGATTCCAAACAATTCAACCCATTGAACATCTGCATGCAACAACTGTACATCAAGTCTTTAACTTTCATCAAAAAAAACAAACTAAAAAAAGTCTTAAATTGAATCCTTTAAACACGAGAACCCTGTAGCTGTGCAAGTCTCTGCTTTAAAAGTTCACTTTTCCTCCTTAGCTGCTCCTTGAGTGAAAGCAGTCTCTGTTCATCTGATTGCATGCTGTAAATGCACTCTGTTGCCTTCTTCAAGATCACCACCTTGGCCGCCTTCTCGTTGTTCGCCACCTCTGGGATCTCGTCTCGCAGGGCGAAGAAGCTCAGCTTGAGCTCGTTCCTCCTCTGGCGCTCCAGCACGTTGTGAGTCCTTCTCTTGTCGTAGTCCTCGGTGTCAGATGTTCGTGGGCTCGAACACTTGCGGTTGCTGCTGATCTGTTTGAGGACCCTGCTGGAGGTGACAGCAGCTCCTCCTCCTCCTCCAGTGATGCTGCTGCTGCTGCTGCTCTCCAGCTTCAGCCTCTTGACAGCCGGCTGCTCGTGCCTCATGGATGGATGGGCGGCGTAATTGTGCTGGTGAGTGGAGACGTGGCACCTCTTCAGGACTAGTGGACTTGCATGCCTGATCTCCACTGGGCTGGGGTCACAGCGTTTCACTGCGTGCCTTTTCTCCACTGTTACCACATCAATTTCCTCCTCATCTTCTTCTTCTTCTTCTTCCTCCTCCTCCTCATCATCATCCTCATCTGCTTCATCATCTTCAATAAAGAAAAATAACAAGTCAGCTTCCATATGCCATGCAACTCTGAGTCAAATCAGCAGCCATGCTCTGGAGAGGGGTGTGTCTGCATGAAGCATGCTCATTCCACTTACCTGAGTCACTACAGCTGCTGCTGCTGTTGGGCGGCGTGTCCAGCCCCAGGTCCTTCCTGCCCACCGTCCCCGCGGTCTGCTTGGGCGTCTCCGCCACCGGGTAGGGGAAAACTACTGAGGGATCGATGCACTCCGACGCGGATGTGTTCAAATCCTGCAGGTAGCTGCTGTTCGGTCTCCACCCAGCAGCACCGGTCGGATCCGCCGCTGCAGCGGCTGCAGCGTCCTTCCTTGCAGCGTGCAGAGAAGCCAGCCGCTCGGACACCACCTTCTTCAGTTTGGCCGCCGCAGAGAACCCGCTCCACATGCAGTCCTGGATAATGATGGACTTGAGGAAGGTCTGAGAGTAATCTGAGTCGCAGATGATGCTCTGGTTGACCACGTCGTCGCCGAGGAACTCTGTGACCATCTCCAGCTGGTCGGCGGTGGAGGGGAAGAGGCTGGACAGAGACGACCGGCGGCTCGGGGAGAGGGGAGGGGTCGGCAGAAGCTCGAATTTTTTCCAGATGTCCTCGCTCGGCGCCGGAGGCTGCGGCTGCTCCGGATAGAAGTCCTCCTCCTCGTTATCGTAGTAGAAAAAGGGCTGCAGGGAGTCGTACTCGTAATCGTAGTTCTTACTCGCCAAAGCTGAATACAGCGGCATGATTTCTGTAAGTGGGCAATCCTTATAATGAAGCTGGCGGGGGGAGAAAAAAAAAAAAAGGAGATAAAAATACAGATTAGGTTTTTGTTGCAGCGAACAGCTGTTTGGCTCAGATCCTACAAGAGTGCAGGCAGCATCACATGGTCACTCAAAAACACTGACCCTATCTGTGTGTGTGTGTGAGGGGGGGGGTGTTGCATGCATGCACAGGTGCTGCTGCAGCAGGTGCATGCAGAAACTAGGACTAGTTAGTAAAATAAGAAGGAAGAAGGGGAACCCCCGCTTTCGCAATGACAACTCTGCAGATTCCTCGCTCGCATCATCCTTACCTTTCAGATTTTACACAGTGGGCGAAAGAAGATGCTAAAAAACAACGTGCAGGAAAGTTATTCCACGACGGCTGTGACATTAAATCCTTCCACGGAGGGCGTCGTAAAGCTCAGCGGGTTGGATACGCAAAGAAGCATACGTGTAGACGCCACAGAAAGAGGACAACCCACAGCGCCTTAAAAGCAGAGTGACACTAGTAGCTGCGCGCTCCGCGGCTGCTTTTTAAAAGGCCGCATCACTTACGAATCCTTCCGCTGCTTCTTTTCCCGCGAAACGGTCACCGCCGGTGAAAAATGCGCCGCAACCCGATTTTATTTCTAGCATTTACGACAAAACAAAACCATTTACACCGAATTAGAGTGCGTTCACAACCATAACACACTGTGAAATTTCCCAAGTTAGTTTATGAATCCAATATTTTTTTCTTTCGGGATTAAATTAGGGTCTAGTTATTGTGGGAGGGGTCATAGTAGAGCGTAGACTACCCACAAAAATACTAACAGACGGTAGTAATGACAGCTTGTTATGACATAGAAGCAGTTTAATCAGAAGTGATGAGCGGAGTGTATATTTTTGAAAAGAAATATCAAAAACAGAATCTAATTTTATTGCTTCGAACAATAGAAAGTAGTTTGGCATTATGTACTCAAATGAAAGGTTACAAGATATTTACTACATCATAAGGTGTCTTCAAAAGATAAAGAATAAAAACTTTTTTTTTTTCTTTCCTGCTGTTAAAACCCTTCCTCTGTTACATACAGTAACAGGAAACATCCTGATCTGATAAGCAGTGCAGCCGCACCACTTATCATTGATATCCTGATAGGAACGCTTTTTATTTCTATTAAATATGGCTTCTTTAGTTCTGAATAAGACACAATTTAATGCCCAAGCTTGGCTCTTGAAAAACCCTAATTGTATTTTTGATTAGCTATCTCTTGTTTGATACCATCCCATAAAATGGGTTAATTCTAACTTTGCTGTCCAATAGGATGAAGTCTGTCCAATATGTTTTGACTGGGCTTTCTTTCTCACAATTTCAAGTCTCATATTAGTTATGACTTTTAATTTAGTTTATTTATATAGCGCCAATTCACAACACATGTCATCTCAAGGCGCTTTACAGTTCAACCAGATCATCCAGTCAAATTGATTAAAAGTTTTCTATCTAAAGAAAACCAGCTGATTGCATCAACTCCTTGACTTGAATGCAGTCCCTCACATTAATCATGCTTGTAGCGACAGTGGAGAGGAAAAAAGGAAGAAACCTCCAGCAGAACCAGGCTCAGTGTGAGCGGTCATCTGCCGAGGCCGACTGGGGTTCAAGGAGACAGAAGCAGAGATACAAAAACCAACTGTGAAAGGCAGCCCGTCCAGGAAACACACAGCCAGGCAGACAAGCTCCGAGCCAGCTCCAATGTCAGAGGATGAAGAGAGCCCATCCAGCCAGTCACCGTCAGAGAAACAGGACTACACTGGAAAAACAGGCCAATCTCCAACATCTATTAAAAAAAAGGTGTTGATGGCAGCAGCAAAGCTGATATTTCTCTCCAAGATGGTGTCACAGCCAAAAAGGAACAGATGAGGCGAAGCTACTATGAGAAAAAGCTGAGAGAGCATAACGTTAGAGATTGAACTAACAGATTCAGCAGAGTGGGAGAATAGAGATAGAATGAAGCAGAATGATAAAATAGGGGTGCCTAGGTCCTCCAGGAGTCTAAGCCTATAGCAGCATAACTATAGAGATAGCTCAGATTTTCTCTTTGTAACAAAGAGATAGATGTGCAATACACACACACACACACACACACACACACACACACATACATATCATAACAGTGCAGACGTCATCTTTCAAACAACTATCAAATACTACATGCTACTTTCTACTACATGATCATTTGAAAATATTAGCAAACCATATAGAAATATTTCCCAAATAGAACCCCCTATAATTGACCCATTTCTCTATAACACATCTGCTTACTTATGTAAATATCGACAAAAGCAAAAGTTACACTTTTGTTTTTAACAAGGAAGCAGAACCAGTCTTAGACCGCAGTTTCACAACAATGCAGCGCCCACAGGTGCTGCAGATTTACCTCAGTCCATCTGCAGTAGCTGACACCCTGAAACCAGCTGATTTTAACACTAAATACCTGCAGTTTGTGGCTGTATGTTATCAGCAAACCACCTCAAAGAAACTGTCAAATACTTTTCCCCGTCCAGCGTTTATAAGATTCCCTCTAACTTGGAGGGATTGACACCAGTTAAGTGCAGGAAGGAAGCAATTAAAGTAATCAGACCGCAGTTGGACTTCAGAGCTTGTTATAAAGAGGGGTTTGAACGGAGCTAGAGTGCCCTCTGCTGGTATATACTAGGAGTGCAGTATCACTGTTAATTGGTGGAGAAAGCTTTTTGCTGGTGAATTAACTAACAGTTATCATGTTTTAAAAAAAAAGAAGAGTAAGAGTTAAAATGCAGCATATAAAAGGGCCTAATGATCTAATGAAACAGTTTGTTGGTTGGTTTAATTGAAAAGATCTCCTTCTGTACTCTATATTTCATTAAAGTAAAAAAAAAATAAAAAAAAATCAATGTCTTAAAGTCAGATTAAACCAAACTTTAAGCTTCAGATTACTACTTAGAAAAAAAGAAAGTTTCATTGTGCTAAAACAGTTGGGCCAAGACAACACAAAGCCTCGCTATACCCCCACTGAGGCAGCAGCATCATGGTGTGGGTTTAGTTCGAAAATAGTCATCATTAGTTCAAAATGCAACTGCTTTCAATAAAAACCTCCAAGCCCTGATTTGTAAAGACCAATAGGACAGGATTTTTTATTTTTTTATTTATTTATTTATTTATTTATTTTAACCATTGCAGGTGGGCTGGATATAGCAACAACATAATTAATTAATTTTGATTGAAATTATAGGTTTATTAAAAGAAGCTCATTAGAAGGTGGTTGTTAATATATAATTCCACACTCAGATAGATTTAGAGAATTGTGCAAAGTTGTGCAGAAGAATGAAGTCAAAGAAAGGTTTGGAAAGCTTATAAATTGGGATAGAAAAAAGTTTGAACTCATGGGTGTGAACACTTTTGCTGCATAATATTGCATGCTTTTCCCTATTTATTCTTCTGTAAAAGAAGAAACAAAAACATATTAAATTGTACAGATATTATACAGAAGTTTGCTTTAAAAGCAAGTTTATAAAATGCTTTCCATTTGAGTAGCTAGGAGTGGACATAAAGTGAGTAAAAAAGCTATAAAGTCCAAAGAAGTCTTCACATCTTGAGAAGTTCTGTAGAACCTTAAGAAAGTCCACGTAGGTTTTGCTCCTTACAGAGAAGGAATGAGACAAGAGTGATGGTGAACCTCTCAGTTTTAAATCTGTTTAGCACTTTGGTTAGTGCCTACTGCTTTAAAGTGCTCTATCAATAAAGATTACCTGGCTGAAATTGGTCTGAAAATTGTTATTTTTTCATAGAAAAAGTTTTTTGATTGGTGGCTGAAGATCTAATCAACTTCATATGGCTTGATGCAGTGCCCTCCACATATGTTGGCATCTACAATAAAGATGCGTAAAATACCTTGAAATTCATTTATTCTTTTATTAAAGCACTGCAATCTGAATCTTGAAATTGTTATTTTGAACAAAACACCTAGAGCCACACTTACAAAAAAAATCAACTACTTAATGCTGTTCTCTTAGCTCTTTTTTTTAAATAGGAAAGACAGCAAAACATCCCAGTGAAGAAAAAGCAGATATAAACCAGCCACTGACCTTGATGTGTCCATATGTATACATTTTTGATTAGCTATAATCAAAAAAATATTTATAGCTATCGTATAAATATTTTTAAAGAGCACTGCCAAAACTTTAGCATCAGGGGTCAAAATCAAATTGAAAGTTTTCATGGACCCATGATTAATTATCTACAAATTTAACATCTCAATGAAAAAAAGCAGAAAAGAAAAGTGTTATTTTCTTAAAACCTTTAATGTATTTAGCATGATTCTGAGTGAAAAGTTGCAGGATGTTTATGACCCTGCTTAATATGATTTTAAAATGAAAAAAAAAAACAAAAAAAAACATGGCAAGTGGAAGAAAGCACTTTTTATTATACCACATGTTTTTATAATTCACACTACATCTCATCCTGAACTAAAATAAGTGCTCATTTATGTAAGGCTCATTTGCTGGAGGGCTAAATTTACCCTTTAACGCAAAATTATAAAATATGTGCCACAACTTTGATTAACCCTTACTTAAATTAACTTAACACATTTTTTCTTTCTACCAAATATAGAGGGGGAGATTGTCAGAAAAAAAGCTCGGTGTCACCTGATTAAAGCCACGCCCCTCGCACACCTCCTTCAAAATGTGCTAATTTGTGCAGTAAAGTTTCTGTTTGTGCCACTATCATTTATAAGACAATCTTAGAGATTTATCTTAAAACAGAAAAAAAAAGTTTTAGCAATGATTTTACTGGTTTGAGCAGCAATTTCTGTTTTTGTTGCATTCATTTTAAAGCAATTGAAAAAAGTTTAAGGTCGAACAGTTTGATCTTTCGTCAATAGATTACAAAAGCAACACAAACCACTCAGTAAATTCCACAGTGAAGGTGCAGTACAACAACAACTGAGGAAGACATACAGTATGTAGAGAGTTAATATACCAGTAACACTAATTCAGAGTGGGACCAAATGCACTCGGATAGGTGTTAAAATTAACTCTAAGTGTTACTTCAACACTGCAAAATTTGCTTTGTAAACACAGTAAATTCCAGTGTTAAATGTGCAGTGTCAAAGTACAATGACTCTTTTCGAGTTATTGCAACAACTATAGTAAGATATGCACTATGTAGAGAGGTAATTTAACACTAGTTCAGTGGGACCAGATGCACTCGGGTTGGTGTTAAATTTAACATGTTACGGGTGTCAACCTTGATAAACCTCTGGATGTTTTTTTATATATATCTTCAAAAAAGCAGCCAGCTGAATTTATTGGCTCTTAGATATAGAAGCTGCAATAGAATAGTTGTTGTTTCTGCCTCCAATAGATACGTTAGGTAGATGTGATGTTTGTTTTTTTATGCAACAATGTGGACATTATAATTGGCCCACTAAAAAGACATCAAAATTTTGTATTTCCATGTGACATTTGTCCCAGTTAAAAGCTAGTGATTTT